ATGTTTATTTATTTATTTTGGGGGGGGGCAAAGAGAGGGACAGAGAATCCCAAGTAGGCTCCACTCTTGTCAACACTGAGCCTGACACGGGGCCCAGTCTCATGAAATGTGAGATCATGACCTGAGCTAAAAGCAAGAGTTGGACGCCTAACCTACTGAGCCACCCAGGCACCCCTAAAGCAGATGTTTAAGAGATACTGCTGGATTCTCTTTGCTAACATTTTATTAAGGATATTTTATATCTACGTTCATGGGGGATATTGGTTGGTCTGTTGTTTTCTTTAGGGAAAGGTTTTTAACTACAAATTCAATATCTTGATATTGAGGTTGTCTTGAGTGAACTTTGGCAGTTTGTGTATCTTTCAAGAAATTGATTCATTTAATCTAATTTGTCGAATTTATTGGCATATAAGTTATATTCCCTTAGTTTTCTTTTAATGCGTGTAGGGTCTGTAGTGATGTCCCTACTTTAATTCTTCATGTTGGTAATATTTTCTTTTCCTAATCAATGTGATTAAAGAGTTATTAATTTTACTCAGAGAACTAGTGTTTGGTTTCATTGGTTTTTGTCTGTATTTCTATTTTCTTCATTGATTTCTGCTCTTTTTTATTTCCTCTTTTCTGCTTACTTGGTGCATCATTTGCTCTTCCTTTTTCTCATTTCTTAAAAGGGAAGCTTGGGTCAGGGGTCAGCACACTTCTATAAAAGGCCAGAGAATAAATATTTTAGGCCTAATGGGCCAGATAGTCTCTACCACAACTACTCAACTCTACTACTGTAGCATGAAAGCAGCCACAAACAGTGAAAGGATAGATAGATATCCCTATGTTACAATAAAAATCTATTCACAAAAATGGGCAGCCAGCCATAGTTGTCTGACCCCTGATTAGGCCATTGTTTTTCCTTTTTCCCTAATATATATATTTAATATATTTCTAAGTCTGCTTTGTCTATATCTCACAACTTTCGAATTCTTGATATATATTTTCTAATTTCCCTTGTGACTCATGAAGTTATTTAATTTTTTTTTTTTAATGTTGGTTTTTGAGAGAGAGGAACAAAGTGTGAGCAGGGGAGGAGCGGAGAGGGAGGGAGACACAGAAAGAATCCAAAGCAGGCTCCAGGCTCTGAGCTGTCAGCACAGAGCCCGATGCGGGGCTTGAACCCACGAACCATGAGATCATGATCTGAGCTGAGGTAGGACACTTAACCAAGCTACCCAGGTGCCCCTCATGAAGTTATGTAAAACATTATTTAATTTCCAAATATTTATAAAATCTCCAGCTATCTTCCCATTATTTATTTTTAATTTAGCTTAATTTTGGCCAAAAGGTGTACTTTGTATGGTTTCAGTCCTTCAAATTTTTTGAGATTTATGACCCTGAATACATTCTGTCTTGGTAAATGTTTCATGTGCACTTAGCAAGAATGTATATTCTTTTGATGTTAGGTGACAGTAATCTGTAAATATCAATTATCTCAAGTAGGTTGATAGTATTTTTCTAGCATTCTGTGTGATTACTAATTTTCTGTATACTTGTTCAGTTGAGATCAGTAACTGAGATCAGTTATTGAAACTACCAATTATAATTGAATATTTCTTTTTGTAGTTCTGTAAGTCTTCATGTTATTTGAAGCTTTGTATTAGGGGCATACACATTTGGGATTGATGTACTAACCCTTGATCATTATGAAATAATCTTCTTTATCCGTGGTCATAGTTCTTGCTTTGAATTCTACTTTAATACTAAAAGTGCCACTTTAAAATTTTTTTTTCAACGTTTATTTATTTTTGCGACAGAGAGAGACAGAGCATGAACGGGGGAGGGGCAGAGAGAGAGGGAGACACAGAATCGGAAACAGGCTCCAAGCTCTGAGCCATCAGCCCAGAGCCCGACGTGGGGCTCGAACCCCCGGACCACGAAATCGTGACCTGGCTGAAGTCGGACGCCTAACCGACTGCGCCACCCAGGCGCCCCTAAAAGTGCCACTTTAAATAAACTTTATCAAGGGGCACCTGGGTGGCTCAGTCTCTGAAGCGTCCGACTCTTGATTTCAGCTTAGGTCATGATCTCACGGTTTGTGAGTTCGAGCCCTGCATCTGGCTCTGCACTGACAGTGCAGAGCCTGCATGGGATACTCTCTGCCTCTCTCCCTGCCCCTCCCTTGCACATGCTCGCTCACTCTCTCTCTCTATCTCTGTCTGTATCCCTCTGTATCTGTCTCTCTCTCAAAATAAATAAATAAATTTTAAAACAACTTTATCAAGATGTATTTTACATATTATAAAATCCACCTATTTCAAGTGTATAAATTCAGTTATTTTTAGCATCTTTCCTGAATGGTGCAGTCATTGCCATAAATCAGTTTCACAATCTTCATCCTCCCATGAGATCACTCATGCCCACTTACAGTTAATGTCCATTCATATCCCTAGTCTCAGGGAACCTACTTTCTGTCTCTATAAATTTGCCTTTTCTGGACACTTCAGATGAATGGAATCATACAATATGTGATACCTTATGCTTGGCTTCTTTCATTTGGCATAATGTTTTCGAGGTTCATCCATGATACAGCATGTATCGGTAGTTCATTTTTTTATATTGCTGAATAGTATTCCATTATATGGAACCACATTTTGCCTATCTATTCACTAATTGATGGACATTGCCAGTTTTGGACTTTGATGATTAATACTACTATGAACATTCTCATGTAAATTTTGGGGTGGCTATGTTTTCATTTCTCTAGGTAAATATCTGAAAGTGGAATTGCTGGGTTGTCTACAAGTTTTACATTTGACTTTTCAGGAAACTGCCAAACTAATTTCCAAGATGGCTGCATCCTTTTACATTCCTGCCGGCAATGTATAAGTGTTCCAGTTCACATCCTCATCAACATTTGTTATTGCCTGCCTTATTATACCCATTCTAGTTGGTGTGAAATAGTGTCTTAAAATGTGATTTTAATTCACATGTTCCAAATGACTAATGATGTTGAACATATTTTCATATGCTAATTAATTAGCCATTTGTGTATCTTCTTTGGTGAAATGTGTGATTGTCTTCCTATTGGATTGTAGGAGTTCTTTGTGAATTCTGGATTCAAATTTTTTATTGGATGTGTGTTTTTCAAATATTTTCTCTTTGTTGTTCATTTTTTAATTTTCTTAGTGGTTTTTTTTTTCCTTTCAGTATAAAGGGTTTTATTTTTCTGAGATGAGATTATCAGTGTTTTCTTTTATGGATTGTGGTTTTGGTATTATATCTAAGAAATCTTTGCCCAACCCCAAGACTTAAAGATTTTCTTCTGTCCGGGCACCTGGGTGGCTCAGTTAAGCATCCCGACTCTTGATTGCAGCTCAGGTCATGATCTCATGGTTTGTGAGTTCGAGCCCCGCATCAGGCTCTGTGATGACAGTGCGGAGCCTGCTTGGGATTCTCTCTCTCCTGCTCTGTCTTCCCCTCCCCGTTTGCACGCTTCTCTCTAAACAAACAAACAAACTTAAAAAAAACAAAAGATTTTTCTCCTATCTTTTGTAAAAATTGTATTATGAGGTAAGGGTCTAAGGTCCTCTTTTTGCTTATAGATATCTAGTTGTCCCAGCACCATTTGTTGAACAGACTGTTTTTTCCCCCAAAGAATTATCTTGCAGTTTTCTTTTGCTTGGAGTTTGTTGAGCTTTCCTGTCTCTGCTGTGCCTATAAACTCTAGTCAGTGAATTGGAGCACCCATAGGACTCCCCTCATTTATTTCCCGATTAACAGGAATCAGTGTTCTGTACTGGCTTTTGCTCAATATCTACAAACCGTTGTTTCAATATATTTTGTCTGGTTTCCTACTTGATTAAAGGCATGAAGGTAAATCTGGTCCCTATTATTTCATCATGTCCAGAAGCAGAAAGTGGTCTCTCTTACCTTTCAGCTTTTAAAAACTGTATTTACCTTTTTGCTTATTATTTCCTAAGCTTCTTAAAAAAACAATATGTTTATAACTTGGGAAGATACAAATTATTCTTAATTTAAAAAGAAAACAGAAGCAGCAGCATGTTTGACATTAGTATCAGAAACACAGTTGTCAGTATTCTTATAACTCATAAGCATGAAATTATAGATCTGATTTAGGAAACAATTTTTAAAAATTACTGTTAATTTCAAGGTATAAGTTCTACTTAATTATATTTTTCTAAAGAATGTAAAATGTGTGTTTTTTCAAATTATAGGCGATTGTGGAAAAATGTGACAGATTCTCTGAGGGAATCTGAAATCGAGAAAGCCACAGAGCATAAACGTACCCTGGAAGAACGCCAGAGGACTGAAGAAAGGCATCGTACTGAAACAGGCACACCCTGGAAAACCAAATATTTTATTAAAGAGGTTTGTCCTACATGTCTTCAGACTAAAACTTGTTATCTACTGTAGTTTACTAGGCTTTCTTGAGTTGTTATCATTTAGACATCTTTATTTCTAAAAATAGTCCAGCATAACCGTGAGCTTTTTCATGGAACTTTTCACAATTTGACAAAACAAAATAGTTTACCAGCAGTTCAGATGAAATGGCTTTTGGAATTAAGTTGGCCACAAACAAAAATGCTAACATAATCTCCAGTCACAATAATAGAATAGACAATTGACAATTTATTGCCTTTCAAACTACACTGAAACTTTCTGTTCATTTCCAGAGACTACATTTTAAAGGGAGACATGAGAAACTTAATTGGCTACACAAAGGCTAGTGCACTGGCTAGAATCTTTGGAACATTTAAGAAAAAAGAATAAAGTGGGGTGTTCAGCTTAGAAAACCAAAAATTGACCATGCATTATAACCTTCAGATATGTATATGCTTTATCACATAGAAATTTTTTATCAGTTTGTATAGCAGTCCCACGGTAGGTTCAAACTACCAGGAATTTTGAGCTTAACATAAAAAGGAATTGTATAACAATAAAAAAAATCCAGTAATAATAATGGGGAGTACATTTTATAGTAATGAACCACTAGTTCTATATGAGACCATGGCTTAGGTAGAAGATTTCATGCACTGATTTTGCAGCTAGACCAAATAATTGCCAGATTCTTATCTAAATTTAAAGATCTTTGTTTGGTTTGGTTTATTAGTTTCTGGTAGAACTCAGAATAAGGTGAATGACTGCAGACCAGAGCTGTTATCAAGAAAAATTTTCTCGGGGCGCCTGGGTGGCTTAGTCAGTTGGTGTGTGATTTCGGCTCAAGCCATGATCTCACTGTTCCTGAGTTCGAGCCCCGCATTGGGCTCTGTGCTGACAATTTAGACCCTGGAGCCTGCTTTGGATTCTGTTCTCCCTTTCTCTCTGCCCTTCCCCCACTTGCTCTCTCTCTCTCTCTCTCTCTCTCTCTTTCTCTCTCTCAAAAATTCAACAAACATTTTTTTTTCAATTAAAAAAATTTTTTTTTCTTGTCAGCGGTGCCTGATGGCTCAGTGGGAAGAGCATGCAGCTTTTGATCTCAGGGTTGTTCAAGCCCCATGTTGGGTAGAGTCTACTTAAAAGGAAAAAAAAAAAGTTTTCTTACCGTAGCCAAGTCTAAAGAAGCCCACTGAATTTTAATATTGGTCCATCAAGAAGGAATTTTCAAAAAGTAATTTAATTTTGATTTTTGCATAGTTATTAACCTTAAAACTCTATTTATTTTTTTATTTATTATAAGTTTGAGTTTATTATAGTTTCTTCATTACTTTCATTTTTCTAATCATTTTCTGTCATTGGTAATTTACCTATTATAAATATTGGTCATTTCCATGGATAGGAATAATAAAACGAAAGTACTTTACATATCTACTCTTTTAGATGAAAAAATAAAAGTTTGTAATTATTATTCAAAGCTATTGGTGGAAATGGGTGGCGAATTGATGGCGTCCACTTCCAGCCAGGTCACCTGGTCGCTGTCCGGGAGTTGAGCCCGTCAGGCTCTGGGCTGATGGCTCAGAGCCTGGAGCCTGTTTCCGATTCTGTGTCTCCCTCTCTCTGCCCCTCCCCCGTTCATACTCTGTCTCTCTCTATCCCAAAAATAAATAAACGTTGAAAAAAAAAATTAAAAAAAAAAAAAAAAAAAAAGCTATAGTCTGATAACTGTGGTTTTTTTCATTTCAAACTCATTAAGAGAGCTGAGATATCAGGAACAGATTCTAGGAAGAGAATTCCTAAGGGAAGACCTCTCTAATTCATTAAAAGTGAACTCTGGGATCCGAGAGCAACTATAATGGCTGCAAGATATAGGGGCACCTGACTGGCTCAGTTGATAGAGCATGCAACTCTTGACCTCAGGGTTGTTTTGAACCCCATGTTTGGTATAGATATTACTTAAAATCTTTTTTTAAAAAGGTACAATTAATGAGATTTTAAAAGGTAGGCACCCTAATTCTTGCTACTAACATGACATGTAAAGTTGCTACTTCTCATGTATTCTTGGACAGATATTATTAAGAGCCACTGTCAATCTAGCGTTCTGTGATGGTTACATCTTTTTCAAAAACAGTACTATAGGAGTTGAGAATTATCAACCAGGTGATTTAATATAAACAACCTAATGGTTGCCATTATTAAAGAAAAATTATTCTGACACTTATTAAAAATGTCAAAGAAAACTTCATTCGGGACTATTGTAGTAAAGAAGAGGGATTATACTTAACTCTGAGTACAAGGACAAGTGGAAACGCGAAGGAGTGGGTGGAAAAGAGAATCTTGGTCGAATATCAAGGATGGGGGTGAGGTAGAGGAACTTGATTAGATATCAAGGGTGGAAGAAGAGGAGTTTAGAAATCAGGGTTTGGAGTAGGGGGGATTCTTAGTGAACTGGCTTATCAAAATTCTTTGCTAAAACTGGGTTCAGTAGGCCATGGATGAGGCCTAGTCAAGAAGAGAACTCAAAGGAGTCTGACTAAAATTCAGTCAAGGAGCTGGGGTGCCTGGGTGGCTCAGTTGGTTATGCGTCCAACTCTTGATTTTGGCTCAGGTCATGATCTCATGGTTTGTGAGTTCAAGCCCCACATCGGGCTCCATGCTGACAGTGTGGAGCCTGCTTGACATTCTCTCTCTCCCTCTCTCTCTGCCCCTCCCCCACTCACTCTTTCTCTGTCTCTAAACTTTAAAAACAAAAAAATCAAAAAATTAAAAAGAAAAATTCATCATTTAATGAAATTCATTCAAGGAGAGAGTGAGTCCTTGTCATTAGGAGCCAAGTAATTGCTTGTCTTAAGTCATTTTTGGAATAAGAATAGAAAGATAGATAGATAGATAGATAGATAGATAGATAGATAGATAGAGATAGAGATATATAGTATAAATAAATTGAAGGAGCTATGGGTTAAAGACAGGTTCAGATCTGACTTCTATTTTATTTATTTTTTTAATGTTTATTTATTGTTGAGAAAGAAAGCACACAAGCAGGGAAGGGACAGAGAAAGAGGGAGACACAGAACCTGAAGGAGGCTCCAGGCTCTGAGCTGTCAGCACAGAGCCCGACATGGGGCTTGAACCCACAAACTGTAAGATCATGACCTGAGCCAAAGCCAGACGCTTAGCCCACTGGGCCACCCAGGGTCCCCTCAGATCTGACTTACTTTGCCTAGTCCCATAAACACTGAACTCTACTCTTAGCTACCCTGACCTCAACTGTGTCAAGTCCTGTACTCCAGTATGTGGCTTCATGCATTTCTTTTCCTCGCTTGGTCTTCTCTGGTTGTAGTTCATTCTCTGACTCTAACTTTGCTCCTCGCAGTATCCTATTCACAGGAGCCAGGGAAAACTAATGGGAGTAGAGTTGGGAAAGAACTAGAAAATAATACTCAACTACTAGAGTTGAGTAGAGAACGGCTAGTAGCTTGATGACCATTTGTGCTCCACCTGCTGCCTGTCACTCTGTGGGTGAGGCTGAGTCTGCAGTGTCTTGGCAAAATTAGCAGAATTGCTACAAATGACTTCTGCAAATAAAGTGGTGATGGAGCATCAACTAGGTGCCCCCGGACCAGAATTTCTCCCCTGATCCTAGCCAAACCACAGACATTATTTGATGTCTTAAGCACAGAGAATTTTTTCCGTCACAAAAACTCTGGTTTTTAAATGTGACAGTAGATGGGGCGCCTAGGTGGCTCAGTCGGTTAAGCACCGACTTCGGCTCAGGTTATGATCTCGTGGTTTGTGAGTTTGAGCCCCGCGTCAGGCCCTGCACTGACAGCTCAGAGCCTGGAGCCTGCTTCGGATTCTGTGTCTCCCTCTCTCTCTGCCCCCCTGCCACTTGCGCTCTGTCTCTGTCTCTCAAAAATAAGTAAACGTGAAAAAATTAAATAAATAAATAAATAAATAAATAAATAAATGTATGTATGTATGTATGTGACAGTAGAATTCCACCTTAGTGAAGATGTTGCTTCTAGTTTTGGTTACTGATTGTGAAAATATTAGAGGAATTTAATTTATTTTTCTACTTGTTTCAGGGAGATGGCTGGGTTTATCATAAGCCCCTTTGGAAAACAATTCCAGCAACACAGCCTGCGGAGTGACACACACTATCTGAGACTCGACCAAATGAACTTCTTCTCTGTTTACCCTAAACCCTCCCAGAATGGAGTCATTGCACTGAGTAACCTGCTTCCTGATTGCACAGACTGAATCTGGCTAAACCCGAATGTCCCTGTTAGGGCACCACAGAACTGCAGCAAGACCAAAGTGTTGAAGACGCACGACGGGCCTCTCACCAACCTGTTCATGTGATACGAGCAATATCATCCGAAAACCTTTCACGTGAATTGTTAGATGATTCATCTTTTATCCAGCTCCTGCTCCTAAAGTTAGGTTTAAATCCCCTATTTTTGCATGGGGGCAGCAGATACACACAAGCGTGAGAACTCAGTGATTTTGATTTCTTTATAGTAAAGAGTGAAGTCTCTTTCAGAGTTTGTGCTTTGCTTTCTGTCAGTAACTGAAGTATTCACTGCTCTTACAAACAAACCCAAGAGGAGGAGGACGATGACCCAGAAGTGGATTCAGCCATTGTGCCTGAAATCAGTGTTAAAAAAATCAACCAGGTTGTAGTAACAAGGCATTCTGTTCCTTCAAAGAGACTGTGTGCCTGTGTCTGAGGAACTTATCCATTATCCACCTCTGTTGGAACTCTCTTTTAAAAAGTATATTTATAAATTGATTAGAATTATAACCATGGAGAATTTTTTCTTCTGAGCATTTTATTATACTTGAAAACAACATTGACTTGAAAAATTTCAGAACATTTTTCAATACCTAGTTTTATTAAATGTTACACTTGAGAGACAATTTTTTAAATGTGTTCATGTCAATATGATGAGATCTTGGCCTTTCTCAAGAACTGAGGCATTAAAGAACAAAGCAAACATTTAAAAAATAAAACTGTTACTTTTTTTTCCTTACCTTTTTTTCACTTGTAGATTAATATCCAGTATTATGTGCTATCCCTCTGAATAAGTATGCTTCATCTTACCTCTGCCCATTCAAATTTAAAACAACTATTCATATTTGTCAGTAATTCAGAAGTTATATATATGGCGGAGTGCATGTATGGTATGGTTTTCTTTTCTTCTCAAGGAAACTCAAATGCTGAAGAAAGAATATGAAGTGAAAAGATATTAGGAAAAAAGATATCAGGAAGTTGTATTCAGGTACAAATCTCTTTTTTTTTTTTAATAAGTATTTTATTGAGGTTGAAGGATTGCTGGCAACTAAAAGAATAGTGCTAATTATGGCTTTCATCATTCATTCAAGTATTTATTGAGTACCTACTTATGGTGCTCAACACTTGTTACTGCAAGCTACCTTAATTTTCCAAGAGTGGTGCCTTACTCTGTTTCTTCTGATGTGGTCTTCCAATCAGTGTGTGTAACATATACCTGTTAGTCATCAGCCATTGTAGGTGGCTGTGTCTCTTGCATCATCATAAGAAGTTTAAGCTTTGTGCTCTGATAAATTGTGTTTTATTGAAGGGTTTAATAGGATGAAAACAGCAAAACAATAATTTTTTCAACAAATTGTAAATTATAAGAGAATAACTGGTTTATGTACAACCATTTTAATGATTCCCTTGTTCATTTTTGCTGTGAAATGCACTGAAAAATCTCAAAATGAGTTATAGTTCATGTGTTGGGAAGATTGAAAAATAATAAAACTAGAGAACAATAATGTCTTTGTCTGTTTTATGAAAGGAGAGAAATAGAAGGTTTGTGTTTAGAGGAGTTAGCCCCCTATTCATTTGAGAGGGACATGGATTTTTTTTCTTTAAATTCTTACCCTCAGGAATCTCTTAGGGAGATAAGGAAGTATATTCAATAAGAGGTTTTAAAAATTAAAATGTTTAAATAGTCTGGAAATAGAGCAAGAATGTAAAATTAAACTCGAGATTTTGTTTTATTCTTTGAACCATTTGAATACTTATTTATTTCTTTCAGTTGTTGAGCCATTTTAAGAATTATTGAAATATGATTTTAAAAATTCTTAAGAAAAAAATACATTTATAAGTAATTGAAATCTCATGATATTGGGTTGATTCTTTGACAAGAGTGAAATAATAATAACCAATTTTGGGTAATTATTTTACCTTGTCTCCATCTTGACTTCACTGCAGCTTATCTACCAGATAAGAGTTAGAGGTCTTTTCTGTTTTATTTTTTATCTACATGTTGTTGGTAATTAGCCAGAGAAATGAATCTTTGCAGCAGTTGCCACTGATTTGTATCTTTTTCTTTGGGGTCAAAGTTTATTTATTTAAAAAATTTTTTTTAAGTTTACTTATTTTGAGAGAAAAAGAACAAGCGAGCAGAGGAGTGGCAGAGAGAGAGGGAGTGAGAGAATCCCAAGCAGGCTCTGCAGTGTCAGCACAGAGCCTGATGCAGGGTTCAAACTCATGTTCGAGGTATGACCTGAGCCGAAACCAAGAGTCAGATGCTTAACCCAACTGAGCCACCTAAGTGTCCCTGGATCAAAGTTTTAAATGTGCGCTTTCTTTCTGGCTTTTCGGAAATGTGTGTTAAGAAGTCCAAGAGCAGTAGTGACAAAAAGACAATGTTCTGGCCATTTATTTGGATTTTTTTTTCTTTTTACCATGATGATAACACTTATCACCCTATCCCTTCTGTCAAATGTTTGTATTTAAGCTCCATCATTTATATTCTAATTAATTACATTTTGAATAGATAGTTTTGAAGCCCTGAAAGTAATTTTTAGGTTGTGTATTGGGTGAGATATGGCATCTACATATTGATTCCCTGAACTCTTCAGTTGTAACCAACATCACCTCTAATGCCTACTTGTCACCAAAAATAATAAGAAAAGTATTGAGTTTCTCATTCTGTAATTCTAGTACTTTACTCATAACTATAAACATCTGGTACTTGATGAACCAACTTCTACAGATTAATTCTTTAAAAAATTTTTTTCTATAGATTAATTCTTAAAGGATTTATTAATTAATTATATAAGTATGAAATTTTGTTTAAAATATTGCCTTAAGATGAAGGCTAACTTCTATTCAATGTGCTCCTCCAAAGAAAGGCAATTTTGTGTGATCACTCCACAGTCTACACTTGGGAGGGATTCCAGTTCCTTAGAGTTAGTACAGTGACTGGAAGCCGAATGGTGATTTAGCAAAGATAGTGGGAGAAGAAAGAGAAGATGAGTCTACCAGATGGGAATATAAAAGACAAGTTCATATACATGAAAATGAAAATTCCAGTAAAACATATATTCTAGTGGCATAAAATCCCTCCTTGCCCGAAAACCAAGCTGCACAGGAAATTGTTACATATTACAAAGCTTTTCCACATGTTTTCAGTACTTGATGTTCACAGTAACACTGTGAAATTGCAAAGTCAGGGATGGCCATTCCAACTTTGTCGATGAAAAAATTATTGCTCAAAGTTTAGTGCTCACTTCATATAGCTAGACCTTCCACAAACATCTGTTAAGTATTCCTTTGGGGCCAGATGATGCATTAGACTCGATGTGACAAATACTATCCCTATCTTTACAGGCTTACGTGAAGGAAGAAACCAAAACCTAAATTCCTGAAAATGAGTCGTTGACAAGGGCAAGGCTAACTGGTCTTTCCAACCCCTAGAAAGGCTTCGTGGTACCTAGGTTCTTTGGAAGGCAGTTGATCAATGAGTTGAAAATGAGGGATTTGGGGGGTACCTGTCTGGCTCAGTCAGTAAAGTATGCAACTCTTGATCTTGGGGTCATGAGTTCAAGCCCCACATTGGGCGTAGAGCTTACTTAAAAATGATAATGAAAAAAAATGTTAAAGCAAGGAGTTTGGCTCAAAGTCTACATAAGAAGCCCCAAACAATGCAACTAGGTGACTAACCCTTGTTCCACCCTACAAGACTGGAGAGATTGAACGAGAGAGGTTTCCAATTCAGGAACACAAGTTGATAAATTGAAAATGAGGAACAAGTTAAAGTCTACATACTTAAGTACGAGATCTCACAGCATCTTTCCCTATCCCATTCCCCAAATATTGGCAGTCAGGCTTATCTCTTTAGGCAAGAGATGAAAAGATCCTTTTTGGGGTTTCTGCATTGCAAAGGAAACAACCAACAAAACTAAAAGGCAACTGACAGAATGGGAGAAGATATTTGCAAATGATGACATATCAGATAAAGGGTTAGTAGCCAAAATCTATAAAGAATTTACCAAACTCAACACCCAAAAAACAAATAATCCAGTAAATAAATGGACAGAAGACATGAATAGACCCTTTTCCAAAGACATCCAGATGGCCAACAGACACAGGAAAAGATGCTCAACGTCACTCATCATCAGGGAAATACAAATCGAAACCACATTGAGATACCACCTCACACTGATCAGAGTGGCTAAGATTAACAACTCAGGAAACAACAGATGTTGACGAGGATGTGGAGAAGGGGAACCCTCTTGCACTGTTGGTGGGAATGCAAACTGGCATAGTCACTCTGGAAAACAGTATGGAGTTTCCTCAAAAAGTTAAAAATAGAACTACCCTATGACCCAGCAATAGCGCTACTAGAAATTTATCCGAAGGATACAGGAGTGCTGATTCATAGGGGGCACATGTACCCCAATGTTTATAGCAGCACTTCCAACAATAGCCAAACCATGGGAAGAGCCCAAATGTCCATCGACTGATGAATGGATAAAGAAGATGTGGTTTATATATAGAAAGGAATATTACTTGGCAATGAAAAAGAGTGAAATTTGTAACAATGTGGATGGAACTGGAGGGTATTATGCTAAGTGAAATAAGCCAGAGAAAAGCAGACATCCTATGTTTTCACTCATGTGAAACTTGAAAAACTTAACAGAAGGTCATGGGGGAAGGGAAGGGGAAAAATAGTTTCAAACAGAGAGGGAGGCAAACCCATAAGAGACTCTTAAATACAGAGAATATACTGAGGGTTGATGCGGGGGCAGGGGGAGGCAGGTGAGAGGAGAAAATGGGTGATGGGCATTGAGGAGGGCACTTGTTGGGGTGAGCACTGGGTGTTGTATGTAAGTG